TCTATGGAAGTCAATAAAAAATAGGCGAAATAGGTTGGTAGGATACCTTCTCAGGCATGAAGGTCTAGTCAGAGACATATTAAAGGCAGAAATAGGAGTTAGAAGGTGTAGAGGTAGACCTAGGTTAGATTACTGTTCGCAAATAGTTAAGGATGTGGGTTGTTCTAGTTTTAGGGAAATGCGAAGTTTAGCTCAGTATAGGAAAGAGCGGAGGTACGTGTCCAACCAATCTTAGGACTGACGACTTTATGATGATGATGATGATGATGAAATCAACTATAACTTTTTTCCATTGCAATTCAATTATACATAAATGTTCAGACAAAAGGAAGCCCTTGAAAAAACACCATTTCTTTTATTGTTTTTTCTACGATGAAAATTTACCGAAATATCGATGCTCAAAATTGTCTATTTTTTGTCATACATTTCCTTTTTTTATCGCAAACGGTTTTTTTTATTTTTTAAACATTTACTCGTTTTTTTTTACTATGAAACACTTTCAATAAAAATTATTATCTACAATTTTAAGATAAATTGTTATTACTCTTGAGGTTTGACGTTTGAACCTCTTGCTGTGCTCAGCTCTAGACACATTTACATATATTAATTTTCAAAATTCTACTTGTTTTTCGATAAACAATAGCGATACACAAAAGTTTAGGTATGCAACGAAATTTAAAAACTTTAAAATTTCGGCTTTGTTATTGTTCAACAAAAATGGTAGACGATTAGAACATGCTCACAATTTATTGCAGTTAGGCTTCAGGTCCGATAGTTTCATTAATTCTACCTGGGATATACCCGTACAGGAATTCTCTTACAGATTAACGGTATTGAGTATTTTATAGCGACTGTTTAACAATATTTTAGAAAGAAGTTAAAAGAACTTACTTTACGTTGGTAATATTCTAATTAATGAAATCTGACAATATACTCGATTTTTTGGGATTTGTGGTTTCTCAGTTGTAGCTTAATATACGATAAATAAATTATAAAACGATCTTAAAAATTACATTACAGTATAAAATTAAAATATTAGTTANTATTTTGCATATATAGTATTAATTTTTAAATATGTTTTTTTTTTGTTCTTTATTGACGATTAAAATTGACTAATCTGTTTGGATAATATCAGCTATAAAAGTGTTAAGTTTATATTATGTACATTCATCGCGCCAAGTTTTAGGCTAGAGTGCTTAAATTAATTACTTGATTTTAACTTCAACGATATTTTGTCTTATTTTTAAGGTTTCGCTTTAGTGGACGTGTTCTAGGATTAGCATTGGTTCATCAATATTTACTGGATGCTTTCTTTACAAGGCCTTTTTACAAAGCTCTCCTTAGACTGCCAGTAGCGTTATCCGATCTGGAAAGTTTAGATTTCGAGTTTCACCAGTCGCTTCAATGGATCAAAGAAAACGACGTATCTAATCAAGGAGAACTAGAACTTACGTTTTCAGTTACTGAAGAGGTTTTCGGTCAAGTTCTGGAAAGAGAGCTCAAACCGGGTGGAAGAAATGTCCCGGTAACCGAAAAGAATAAAAAAGTATGTACAAATAATTACTAATAAAACAAGTTTCTTTATAAAGCTAGAACAATATCAAAATATTTCAAGTTAGAGACATGATTTGTATTTATTCAATCAGAAATGAAGTTGAATTTTTGCGTTTTTGCAAAATCGACATATAAAGGGTAAAGAACAAGTGTTGAGTTGTATGGGAATTTTTAAATATACAGGATATACCAAGAAATCCTTTACTTTAAGAAGTAAGAATGAAAATCAACATTCGTAGTACTTTGATATGAACTTTTAATGTATAATATTTTCAATCAAGATTCACTTCCGTTTATACCAGAAATAGGTACTAATTTTGTTGATTTGAATTGTCATTTTCGAGTTTCGAAACGATTGTACAAACGTATAAGAATATGGATAAAAACGATGTTTTTTTAATATTCTATTTAGAAAGTTTCTGAAAGGTACAACGTAAACTTACGGGTAGTAGCTTCAAACTTTCCATTTTGAAAGATAACTGTCTACTTGTGTTAGAAATTAGAAAATTAGATTTTTCAATTTCATAGATGGTCTATGACCTTATCCATTACATGTTTGCTATAACTTTGTAATAGAGTAAAATTTTCTTAATGTTTTTTTTGAAAAATTGTAAAGAATAAAAAAATAAAAATTGTAAAAGATACGATATTTTGAAAATTTCAAACTTGCCCTGTATTACACTTAACATTTGATAATTTAAAACATATAAAGGTATCTTTGAATATTAACAGGCTGGTACTGGGCGGTCGACCGAAATCCTAATAATAAATCGCAAATATACAACGTTACTATAAAATTTAAAAATATTTATGAATATATCGTTTCCTTTCAGGAATACTTGGAACGAATAGTAAGATGGCGACTGGAAAGAGGAGTAGCTGAACAAACAGAGTGCTTAGTCAGGGGCTTTTATGAAGTTGTAGATCCTCGACTAGTTAGTGTTTTTGATGCTAGGGAATTAGAGCTTGTAATGGCAGGAACTGCTGAAATAGACCTTGTCGATTGGAGACAAAACACTGAATATAGAGGTGGTTACCATGATCAACACCAAGTAGTTATTTGGTTTTGGCAAGCAATTGAAAGGTAATTGTTTGTTTGAAAAGGATGCAATATGTGTGACGAAATATAATTGAGTTTCTCTTTACAAAAAGTTGTATTTTATTTTATAAATTGGTAACTACCAGGTTTCTACTTTAAAAAATGCAAGGGCATTGTTTTAATTTTAATATTATGGTACCATTATTGTATTACAATAAATTAAGTATTTCAAATATTAAAGCAATGTTGAGAAACGGCAATAAAATAAAATTTCTCATAACTGGACATTAAAAATTTTAATAATTGCCTACATCTGCGCGTTAAATAATTTGATATAAAACAGTTTGATTTTGCAGGTTTTCA